CAAAAATAGTAATGCTGTTGGTGCTTTGCTGACAGTTTTTCAAACCCTGCTTTTTAGTACTAATCGGCTCTTAAGTTATATAAGCTTCCCAGTAAAGAAAAATAATCGGCTTATTGCGAATTTCATGTGAACAAATATTCCCAAAAATTATAAAGCAAAACAAAAACAATTTTTAACAATTTGTTTTTGTTTTGCCTGTTGAATTTAGTAGTCCACTTGCAAACAGCGTTAGGCGAATTTATGATAGTAAGCCATAAATTAAAAAACAAAAAGACTACGACAACAAGTAACACCTAAATTGAATCTTTTTTTATTANTAGTAGTCCACTTGCAAACAGCGTTAGGCGAATTTATGATAGTAAGCCATAAATTAAAAAACAAAAAGACTACGACAACAAGTAACACCTAAATTGAATCTTTTTTTATTATCTGAAAATTTGGATAAATAAGAGCCTAACAACATTATAACATAACATAACATAACACAACATAACACTAACAATCTATACGACCTAAAGCAGTTTTCTAAGTTTTGCACTGTGTGGTTTGTGGACCCAGCTAAACCTAAAAATCGAAAAATCGAAAAAATCGCAAAAATTTTACATAGCGCACTTTGCAAGTGGACTACTCAATTATGGAAACGATTTATTCACATGGAATTGGCGATAAGGCTGAATAATATTCTGTGTTCTTTTGTGTACTCGTATACGACTACTTAATCATCCTGTGCACATACAAATGTAGCTATTTACGTTACGTTAATGTTCTTCTGATATATGCAGGCATTTTTATATGTACGTACATATGTCTGATTTTATTTAGATATGTTCTTTACAAAATTTATATATAAGAACTAGAAATGGAGCGCACTCAACAAATACATAAGTATTATAGAATTATACTATAAGAAAATATTTTAATAATACATATAAGATTTAACATTAAACCGCTGATACGCAGCTCAACACTCCAGCTGAGCAATACTTTTGATGCAATATTTTGTTATGCATCTAAAGCGAACTAAAATAAAAAAAAAAATATGGGCAACAAATACAACTAAATACATCCATACATAAAAAGACCTCATTTATTTGCTTAAACTTTTTTCCAATTTTGCAAACTTTATGAATAAAATAAATTTTATGTTTAGACTGTCAAAAGTTCGTTTTAAATTTAAAACTTATATTTATGCCTTTGCTAACNTTAACATTAAACCGCTGATACGCAGCTCAACACTCCAGTTGAGCAATACTTTTGATGCAATATTTTGTTATGCATCTAAAGCGAACTAAAATAAAAAAAAAATATGCGCAACAAATACATACATATGTACATAAAAAGACCTCATTTATTTGCTTAAACTTTTTTCCAATTTTGCAAACTTTATGAATAAAATAAATTTTATGTTTAGACTGTCAAAAGTTCGTTTTAAATTTAAAACTTATATTTATGCCTTTGCTAACAAATAGACGTGTCCACATGTTTTTTGTAAGTGTAATATTTGGCGTGAACGCCTGATTGTAATTATGCGGAATGCATATATATATGTATGTACTTACATAAGTATGTATATACTTAATGTACGTATGTTAGCATACATTTACCAATCGATTACACAAAGCAAACCAATGAAACACTTGTAATACTACTTAAGAAACAACTAACAAAACGAAACATAAATGATTAAAAATGTGTGTTGTGATATTTAAAACTTTTATTGCAAACATGCTGACGTCAGGTGAGCGTTTGCACTGGTAAATTTCGAATAAATAGCATATACTTACTATATGTATTAGGGCGTCGAAATACGTGAGAGGGGGAATGTTGAGCTATGAGGGACTTATATAAATTATAATCNACATGCTGACGTCAGGTGAGCGTTTGCACTGGAAAATTTCGAATAAATAGCATATACTTACTATATGTATTAGGGCGTCGAAAGACGTGAGAGGGGGAATGTTGAGCTATGAGGGACTTATATAAATTATAATCTAAGAGGAATTTTTTTTTTTTTTTTTAAATTTGGAATATTTGGCAAAATGTAATGCTCAGAGGGATCAGACTATTTGATGATCAAAAGAGGGCCGCACGATATATAAGCAAATAAAAATAAAATGACAAACAAAAATTATAAAATCTTAGCATAACGTATTGTATTGTATTTAACGACTACAAAAAAAAAAAAACTTGTATGAAGGAAAAATATAAACTATAAACAAAATACCACAATTACCTATAATTACAATTTAAATTGCAATTACTACAATTACAATATAATTATAAACTCAATAAAATCATTGAAAAAAATTTAGCATTCAAATTTTATTATAGTTTCATACCAGGGCAGGAAGTGTGGGGGCCCTATAGCGATTACCTGTAGATTAAGTATAAATCGAAGCGCACGTTAGCGCGATTCTATCGGTGCAAATTCGGTTGTTAACTTCGAATCTGCAAACGTGCGCATGCTTGCGCAATTTTTTCGTATCGAAAACCGATGTACAATTCCCTTTTTTCGTATATTTCTGTACTCGGCATCACCACATATAAAATGGGATTGGTACGAACATTTCTTTCTTTACATATATTGCTATGACACTTTTGTTCCTTTTCTTTGCGCATTCGAAACGCGGATTGCAAAAAGGAACATTGAATGTAAGTGAGCGCTTCGATTAAAGCGTTTCCTTCGTAAGTTCAAGGTCATTTGAAGGTCAAGTAGGGGAAAATTCATTGAATAAACCAGGAGGGTTACTCGGTAATGCAAAAAAAAATTTGACAGTGTAGTGGAAAAGACGCAAATATTTTAAAATGGAAAGGATCAAGTAGTCCAATATTTTGGTGGACGAAAGACAAAATATGTAGTTATCGATTGTCCAGGCAAAATTTCATTTTTTTGCTCTTGGTTGATACTTTCCAGGAAATACCCATATTCGAATATTTTTTTTACAGCCAGAAAACATTATTAAAAACAACGCGATTTTTTAGAAACTTAGAACGTGTACTTTACTAAAATTTAATGGGTTATTAAAGTGCAAAATTTCCAAAAATCTGAGAAAAAGTTGAAAATTTAGATGAAACTTTGCAGTTTTTTAAATTTCTTCACAAAGTCTGAAATGTTGATTTATATTAGGTGTATTCACGATCCGGTGCATACTATCTAGCATGGTGCATAGATAGCATGATTGTCTTTGTTTCGTGTGTCCAAAAAACAACAAAATTAGCCAATCATGCTACTATGCACCATGCTATACAGTATGCACCGGATCGTGAATACTCCTAGTGTGTTTGTTATATAACAGGGTTGGGCAAGGCCGAGGCCGAAAAGAGCCACATGTAAATTATAAATGCTACAAGAACCTCAAAAACAAAAACAAAAGTTTTATTTAAAAAAAAAATTATTATTAGAAATGAAAAACATTAATTTCAAAATCTGGTTTTACGTCAGTTAAAGCCGTTCTGTTTAATGTTGGTTAGTCAATAGGTATAGTGGCGGTTAATGAATGGTGTTTCATTGTTAATATTTACAATGTTTTTCAAGCTAAATTTTTTTTGAATTTTTTTTATAAAAATATGGTTCATGCTTTAACAAAAATTATGTAAATCACACTTTAAAATTGCTTGCAGAATTAGAAAAATTCCACAAATTTGTATTTAAATTACGCGCTTTTTGACCAGAATTTTTAGAAATTTTTTGGGTGTGCAGTTAACAAGCTTATGAAATTCTAGTAAAATAAGTACAAGTTTTGAGCGGCTAAAAAATTGCATTGATCTTTAATATATTTTTTTACGGCGTTTCGCACTTTTTTCCATATAAACATGGATCTTGTGGAAGAATATGCGCAAAACCGTTTGCGAAAGAAAAAAAACGGCTGCGCCAGTTTTACTAAATTTCGCTATTTATATGGAAAAAAACGCAAAGCCGCAAAAGACAAATTCAAGTTTTGCAAATGTTCCATCATACCGGTAAAAAACATTAAGTCAGAAGGCCAATTTTCATTCTCCAATTGCTGGTAATGTTAAGATCTCAATTTGCGTATGTGTATATAAAAAGAATAAAATAAAAAAACAACACAATGGAAAAGAATATCCAGCAACGAAATATGTATTTTAAAAAGTAAAAAAGAGCCAAAATGTTCTAAGCAAAGAGAAAGTAAAAAGAGCCGCACTTTTCTAAGCAAAGGGCCCCATTTGGCTCAAAGAGCCGCGTTTGCCCGCCGTTGTTATATAATAAGCTAGAGTTTTAGGGAGAAATAATAAACTCTAACTAAAGAAAAAAGCGAAAATTGGTCAAAACGTTGCTGGCGTAATTAGTTGATCGCAAGTGTATATGAAATTCATAAAAATTCGATGTGTACTGATAAATAAGTATTAAGCCTTTATTTATTTAATTTTATTTCATCATACTTAACGGGGTTTTGAGCCATAATAAAATATAACTTTATGTATATGTAAGTATATGTTAACACTATACACTCCCATAAACCTGCAGAGGGACAAACAAGGCTTTTTGGGTGGGTTATTTTTCTTTTATTTAATTTCCATTATTTTACAATTAAAATACAGTTCATTCTCTAACAAAAACCATATAAACGCAAGTTTCAAACTACATATTGATGGTCCTCTGCAATAACGACACAATTCAAAAATCAAGAAATAAAAACTGTTAAGTGGTTCTTGCCTAAATCCTTGTATAATTCATTTCCAACCCTTACTTAAGTAAGCAGTAAGGACTGCTTAAGTACGTACTAAAGATTAGACATAGATTCAATAAGAATTAGAGACATGAGCCACTTAACAGTGGTTTTTATTTTTTGAATTTTCAATTGTGTCGTTATTGCACAGGACCATCGATACGTAGAAAATTAAAAAAATGAGCATCAAAATCTCAAACTTTTTTCTCAGAATTTTTCAAGTATGCAGCCCAATCAAGTTTACTACAATAAAGTGCAAGTTAAAGTAGGTATAAATTACCATTAATTTTTAACAATTTTTTATTGAGTTATACCGCAATTTGTTCTCTTTAACGCATGCTCACATTTTTTTTATATGGAAAAAACTCTGGAAGATCGTCGGTAAAAAAATTTCACTTTATTATCCTTAAACTAGATGGGCTGCAAAACTACACACACAGATGAATTCTAAAAACTCTGGGAAAAATTTGAAATTTTGTTGCACAAAGTTTGTAGCTTGGGTTTATATGGTTTTTGTTAGAGAATGAACTAAAGCGAATATATATATGGTGTTACTAGATCAGCTGATTTTATATATTTAACTTGGAATGAACGGTATTCAATTCACTAAAAATATTATGTATTTCAATTGAAACATAATGAAAACTAAATGGAAGTAAAATAACCCAGAACCCAGTCGAACAAGCATTGTCTCTATTTGAATGAATAATGTACGCATTAATATTTTATTACATCAGCCCCTGAACTTACATACAAAAAAATTTAAAAAATTATCAGTTTCGACTTATAAATTTGTCTGTAAAAATTTTCGCGTTTACCGTTGTGTCATTGTNCCATTTATGTAGATTTCATCCTTCACAATAACATCTTCTCCAAGCACTGTGATTCCCTCTATACGCACCCAGCGACCAACTACAGAACGCCAACCAACAATGCAGGAGTCCAACCATGAATGCGACTTAACTATAGCACCTTTGAGGATTGTTGAGCGCTTGATGCAAACGCCATCTTCAATTACCACCTCCGGACCGATTGTAACATTTGGCCCGATACGGCAACCCTCGCCAATCTTCGCTGTGGGATCTACTAGAACGTTGCCAACTACACCCGGACCGGTGTAAAGTTGCATTGATTGCTTCTGTCGCAGGGATGTTAGATAAAGACACATGCCTGTAGAAAAATATGTTTGTATGTGTAAGTATAAATTAGTGTACGTGGAATTTTTAAAAATGTTTAGCCTGCAATAGCTGTGCTAATTCATAAGGTTAATAGACTGTGAGTACACTAAAAAACTTCCCTCCAATGCTTACAGATAAGTATTTATATTATACACGTGATAAGCTCATTTCCGCCTCACCATCGGAAATGAATCGAGGTTCTTGTAGCAAACAAATTCCAGTTTAATCAAATATCATATCTTATCTACATATAAGACTATTGAACCAACATATCTGTGGTCATAAGCAATAACCGCCTAAGTCGACTTAAGAATGAATGGAGTTATATATGCTATCGTATTACTCAATCCCTATTCCATGCGTACGTGAAATCCCCATCTCGCCAGCTAGGCTTTTTAAAAAGTTATAGGCGAAAATATTTTAACATTACAATCCAAATCTTTAAAGCATTTTTTCTCGAATTCAGGTTTTTCTACTTAGGCGATTATTGCTTATGAGCACAGATACATCGAACCCAACTGAGTACAAGCGTATTGTGCTTATGTTCTACCAACCTGTTAGAAAATCTTTCGGCTGCCCTATATCCATCCAAAAACCGGGTAATTCCATTGCATACAGTTGACTTTCGTTGGCCATTGCGGGAAACACTTCTTTCTCAATCGATGTGGGTTTGACTTCAATCCGTTCCAGTACAGAAGTATTGAATATATAAATACCGGCATTAATTTTATTGCTCACAAACTCTTGAGGTTTTTCAATAAAATTTTCAATGCGACCATTTTCGTCGTACAGTACTACACCATACTTAGATGGCTCTTCCACTTTCGTGACCACAATTGTGCCCTCTTTACCATGGTTTTTATGGAACTGCTCTAATTGCTTAAAGGGGAAATCACATATAACATCTGAATTGAGTACATAAAAGGGTTCGTCGCTAGAACAGAGTATATCTTTTGCCAATGCCAATGGACCGGCAGTCCCAAGAGGTTCGGTTTCATGGGAAAATATTAAATTTACACCTAATTTCTCTGCTTCTTGCTTAAGTTCTTGTTCCATTTGCTCTGCACGATACGAGACAGCAAGTATAACCTGAAGATAAAAAAATAGCACATATTAGGGATTTAGCAAATAACAATTACGCACTCGTTTCGCATGAACCCACCTGCATACATCCAACGCTCACTAATGCCTCCAGTTGGTGTAATAAAATTGGTTTATTGGCAAATTCCACCAGAGGTTTCGGTGTACTCAATGTCAATGGACGTAATCGTGTGCCATAGCCCCCAACAAGTATGAGAGCTCGTGTACCTTTTGTGCCCGTCGTATTTGTTCCACACATTATTGTCTTTTAATTTTATGTACCTAATTGAACAATTTTATTTGCTTTCAACGACACTTTGCCTTTGGTATCGCTGCTGCACTTCTTTATGACACGTCACTATATCAGAGTATGCTTATTCTTAAATAAATACTGCAAATGAGGTGATATTTCGCCGGTCGCATGTATGTAATACCTTTTATAAATTAATGCTCATGTATTTTTCGGTTACTATTATAGTTATCCACGTAGATATATGTACATTGACCACGAACTGATAAGAGGTCTACCTTTTTCTTATCCTAAGCAATTCTTCATTGTTTGGTTTTTGTTTTTCGTTTTGTTTGTGTCGCGGTTTTCGTAGCCAATGACCAATAAAATCAAGCGACGTCGGCGGAACAATTTATATTCGACACTTTTAATTTAATGGTCAATTTAAATACTTTTATTTGTACATACGCATATAAGACGTATGGATTTAAAAAGCTCTTCGTCCTAAATGGTTTAATGAACTACTAAATAGAAAATTTTAGTAGAGAAAAAAGGGCTGAATTAAAATTACAGGAAGTAAAAGGCAACGTCAAAAACGTTGTAACCAAAGCTGCGAACAAATAGACCTTAGATCCAGGGCTGCCAGCTATACTTGGGTATGAAGTGCAATATTGAGGACTAAAAGGTGCCAAAATGTGCCAAATAGAAAAATAAAAGTGCCAGTGGGCTAAGGGCCGGTTACTCAATGTCTGGTTAACACTAATCTCCGTTTAAACATCATTATCGACGTGTTCGGCTCAATGCATATAGCATGGAGTCGGTAACGTCGATAACGATGTTTTACCGGAGATTAGTGTTAACCAGACATTGAGTAACCGGCCCTTAGTCTTCCATACAAAATAAGCTAATAGCTTAAATTTCGCGTCAAATAAAACACGCCTTTTGTTGAAAAAATTCAATGCCAAACCAATAAAAAAATCCAGATAAACCAGTTGTATACACTATAGAAATTAGAAAATTTTTGTTCATACAAAGAAGTNATCCATATAAATCAGTTGTATACACTATAGAAATTAGAAAATTTTTGTTCATACAAAGAAGTACCCACATAGGATTTCAAGGAAATGATTGAAATATTCATATTTTTCAAAAGTGCCATTTTGGCACTTTGTGCCAAATTGAATAATTAACAGGTCTATTCTGCGCTGGTAATAAAAAGTTTGTAACCGGTAAATAAAGTTCCCGTCAATTTTTAAACCCTTTCCCCATTCTGTGTATTCTTGTAACCGGTAAATTTTGTTACCATTTTATAAGCTGGTAACAAAGTATTGCCCCGTGAAATATGCAATGCCAGAATTTGTACAATTCCTCATAACTGAATTGCTGAATATTTCAACTGCATTACCAACGTTCCTAGAATCGCGGTGACAAGAACTGGTAACATTTTTTGGTAATACAATTTTCCGGTTACAAAATCTTCGGTAACGTGCAGAATAGACCTGTAAGTGCCATTTATTATACAGGTATATTCTGCACGTTACCGAAGATTTTGTAACCGGAAAATTGTATTACCAAAAAATGTTACCAGTTCTTGTCACCGCGATTCTAGGTACGTTGGTAATGCAGTTAAAATATTCAGCATAGTGAAGAATTGTGCAAATCCTGGGATTGCATATTTCACGGGGCAATAATTTGTTACCAGCTTATGAGATGGGTACCAGTGAATGTAGCCCTATGGACGAACAACTTCTGAGATACTTCGCCGACCTAAACGGGGTTAATCGCCGAAATGAATGAGGATGTGCCGAATGAGTGTCCGGCATGCGGAGAGACCCCACATGGCTCGAAACATCTCTTCGCATGCCCGGAAAACCCGACAACCCTAACGACCTTGTCCCTGTGGACCAACCCCACAGAAGCTGCACGCTTCCTAGGGTTGCCGTTAGTGGAACTTGACGACAACGACTGAGATACTGGTACAACCGTCCTGGGCGGGGTTGTTGTAGCCGCTACAACAACAACAACAACATGGGTACCAGTGTTGCCAAATACGCCTTTTCCGACCAATTTTGTCTTTGTTTCAGTTGGTAGGTTGCAACGTAAAATTTTGGTCGTTTGTAAAAAATTGCCGAAAAGCATTGAGACATTGTGCCGCAACATATTTAGTTTCTTTTCCCACAGTTCAAAGAGGATACATGAACTGAAGGAATTTCAGCAGCCATATGTTTTCCTAACGAGTGCGACAGTGATGCAAGGCTCTCATGTACAGGGGGAAACTGGTGACAAACTGCACGCCGCCCATACAAAATCACCAGATTTGTCACCAATTTTGAAGTGAACGAAACCGCTTCTTCACCACATTTTTCACTACTTTTGGCTGGCAGAGTGCTTGAGACAATTGGAAAAGTATGCATGCACTAGTGAAAAAGTGTGCATGTATTTCTGTTGTCATGACAATATTGTCCGTCGTTAACCAACAACGTAGAGCGGTTTGATCAAACGTCAACATGGCGGTCAAAAAATTAAAAAAATTTTATTTTTGTTCACATTTCCCTCAAACGGCTTGTCAAACCTTCAAACACCCCCATATACAACATAAATAGCTTTAAGTCTGCATTTGATGCTAAATATTCAAAATATTATCGATAATTTTATTCATTCCATCGTTATATTTTAAATTTATTTTGAACTTGCAAAATCTTGATAACGAAGAGAGAGAACATGCATTGTTCGATCATAAGAATATTCATATTTATTCTTGATTAGATCCAGAGAATTATAGGAAAAAAATTTGGAAATAAAAGACTCTTCATTTTCATATAAGTTTCCCAATTTAAAACAAAAATGGTTTTACTATGGGTGGATGAAACATTTTTGGGTGAATTTTTTTCAGGCGAAACTCAGGATAAGGCAGAATATGTTTGCGGCAACGTTTGTGCCGACTCGCCATGTTATGTGCGTCTTGTCACTCGAAAGCATCCCTGTGAAAAGAATTTCTATCTGCCGGGACCCACAATTTAATGTGTCTACTCAGCTGATTTAGTTGCGACGGCTTCTGATATCAATGAATTTTGTTTAATATCTCAATTCAGATTGAGTTTTGAAGCAACAATTGTACATTTGCTGTTACTTTATATTCGTTCGGGATAGCTTAAGACTTTCATTTCATTGGGTGGACAAAAGACCTGCTATATCGTGAATATCCATGGTTGAATAATTATAATTAGTTATTAATCATAATTATTAAATCATGGGGAATAACGTGACAATCTGGAACGCAACTTAAGCCTGCTATACAGTTCAATGCAAGCGTGAGCGTGGGATTTTTATTTTGACCAATATCTTCGTTATTACTTAACCTTTAGCAATAGTTGATACATAAAAAGATGATTAAATATTAAGAATTATAGATAACAACTAATTTAAAATGCACAATGTGCCTTTTTTCAAGCTCACACTCAACTGTGTGCGTACGCTAAGCATTCGCATGTGAACGACAAGTTTATGACAGATGTGTGTGAGCGTCCATAAGAATACAAATGGAATTCTTTCGACACAGAAAAAAAATATTTTTGTCATGATCTGTTTGCATCGTTACGTCGCACTCGCATTGAACTGTATAGCAAGCTTTATTGCAGTATCTTGCAAACTATTCATAGCTTTTGACCAACCCTTCATTTCATCTATTAACTCACATACAACCCTGGCAC